AGGGTCACTGGACCACATTTGGACTGTGTTCAGGGACAGTGCTTTATAAGCCTGCATGTTACTGGCACTGTATTCAGGGGGATATCCCCAAGTAGGAGGGGACTAAGGGACTAATCTTAGGGACTAATAATTGAGGCAAGAAGTTAAGCCTATGTTTTCCCATGTGGAGAACCTCCCTCCACTGCCACTCTTGCTTTAGGATTTGATCTGATAAGGGAGCAGATAGTGCTTCCTTGAAGGTATTTGAAGCCATGCATCAAAGACTACTTTTCTCCTCTCTATGATACCCTGTACTTCTTCCAAATCTTCTCGTCTTCAAGAAAGCCATCTTGAGTTGTTACAGAACTTTTTACAACCACAAGATTTCCCTATTATTTACATATTGATCAGTTTCCTCAGAACCCAGCCTAGTCTGACAGCCGTAAGTTTTATATGTTACATGTAAGAAGTTTCTGGACCACAGTGTATTTTGAGAGACATATCAAGAGTATAGGAACGTAAATATAAGACTAATTGAACTCTGTTTATTGGACACCTCAGCAAGGCTCAGGACTGAAGCAGCTGAAATGGCATCTCGGTTTGGGCCCCACAAGAACACTTGCTATCTCCCCAGGGCTCTAGGTGTTTTCAGGCTTCTGTGGAAGCTTAGGCTGGGCCCTCGGCAGGGAGGTGTTACCCCATCACTGGCCCCAGTGACATTCCACTCAGCCTTCAAGGCCACCTTCTCTCTGAACATTAGCCTTCCAGTCTTCCCTAAAGCATCTTTCCCATTTGTCCCATTTGTCCAAACTTCTATTTTAGCAGTAATTACGTAGTTTCATAGCTCTCTGGGTTTGTATCTGCCTGTCTTCAATAAGTTCCTTGAGGATAAGTATTTTCATTCTTTTTTATGTGCCTAAAATCAGTACACTCAGTACTTGCTACTTGAGGTGCTCAATAAATACTCGTTGGGTGGGCAAATGAATTGATAAATATGTTTCATCATTGCATATCTGTCTTACCCTGTAGTTCTAATAAAGCAGATTCTTCTTGGAAGACTGAGTTAACTCATATTTGCAATGCTGCCTTTAAACATAGATATTGTCTAATATTTTAAGTTTGATAAGTAATGATTTCTTGATTTGTTTAAAATAATTATGTTTATAGGAGTGTATAGAATTTAGGCAAAAAAAGACATTTCTGGGGTCCTCTTTGGTTTGGAACTCTGTTTTTATTTTGTGGGTTATTTTTTTATTCGGCATCAACTGTCAAGAGAAAATACCATTTGCTTAGGGCAAGTCCGTGGGTTTAACTTGTCATCTGAGTGTCACGGTAGCCCAGATTTCTGGGAAAACTAAAAGAATTCAGAAGTTTAAAATGTAATACAAAGGTTTTTTTTTTTTTTAATCTTTCATGGATTCTGGGACAAGTTAATCAAGATTCTTAACTCTGATAACTTTATTCTTGAAACACTTGCAACCCTGTCTCTTGTAGAAGACTTTGACCGTGATCATGATGCTCAGTAAAATGTCACGTGGATAAAATACTTAGTAAACATCATCTGGTAATCTAAGAAGTAAGGATACCATCTCAGCCATTGTTCATAAATTAGATATGGTGGTTTTTCTTTGAATTCATTGAGTGTTAGCCAATATGTAGTACTTGCTGTGTGCAAAACCATTCATTCATTTTACAAATAACTTTGAGGGCCTACCATAAGCCAGAAGTTCCACGTTACTTATCTCAGGAAACACGGGCTACCTGAGACAGCTTTTGTAACCTCAGTGAACTTGTAGCCTGTTAAAGAGATTAGACAGCTACATGTTGAATGTGAGCTCTCTAAGAAAGATACTGAATCCGTTTGGGAAGAGAGGGAAGACCTCTCGAAGCAAGTAGCATTTGATCGGGATAAGATTTCAATGGACAGATTGTGTTCATTGGACTTTCTCCAATTACAAAAGGCAGAGATATACTTTCTCTCAAGCCACCTCAGTTTCTGAGATTTACTGCGAGTCTCCACAGGAAGAAGGAAGGGCAGGACAGCAGCCTCAGCCACCACTGAGGCAGGCCCCATGGAGAATTGGACACTGGCTCTAGTAGCATGAGAGCCCCTTGGTTGTGTCACTAGATGTGAATGTCAGTTGTTCCCTTCTCTTGTGATCTGCACTATGGTCACTCAGCTTTTCTTGTCTTTGTCTCCACAACAAAGGTAAAGTGTATGTCTACCCCCATTTCACTCCTCAAGAGAAGAAAATCTGTCTTGCCTCATCTCTGTTCAACAATGAGCACCCTAGTGCACAAAGCTCATGCCAGCCACCACATAGGCTGCTTGCCAGCCAAAGGATACATGCTTTTGCTTAGCGACTCCTCCCTGGTGGAATCAGCTGTGGCCAGGGAGACGGGGTCACATGGTAAAGAGCAGACCTTCTCAAACTTTAGCATGCATATGAATCACCAGGAGACCTTGCGAGAATGCAGACTCTGATTCAGGAGGTGTGGGCTGTGACACGATTTTTTTGTTTCCAGCGAACTCCCAGGTGATGCCAATGTTGGTGCTCCTCGGACCACACTTTGAGTAACAAGGACCGAACACAGTGTGACCTCTGTGTGAATCTAATTACTCAGAAGGCAGGCAATCTGTGTGGGAGGTCTGTGGTTGTGAGATGGCTTTTCGTGTGAAGGAATAAGTATTAAAAAAGGAGTGGAGGAAGATGCAGCTGTGGGACTTCGCTGTTTATTGCACAAAGTTGGGAGCCAGAGTCACTGGTATAGACACCTAAGTATCAGATTCCTTATCATTCTGGTATGTTAGGAGAATCACCCATTTCTAACTCTCTTCATTAGGGATCCATAGGGGTGATAGTTTAGCTCTCAAACCATTGTGATGTCCAGTACCCACAGTTAATCCCAGTGTCAAAGTGCTCTTTCATTCACTCTTCTATCCACTTCATAAATACAATCTGACTGACTGATTGAAAACCAAAGAGGTTTTTTTTTTCCTTATTTGACAGTGCTAGAGGTCAGTGACTTAGAACTACTAATAATGTTGAATAGAAGAGAACTTAGTTAAATATTCAAGCCCTTCTGAGATAATGGCAGGTGCATGAGGAAAAGCAAGTCTTTCTGACTTCTTCCCCATTTCACTCATTACATCTGAAAATTACATTCACAGAGGCCCCATGTGGCATTTACATTTATTCCTCATTGTTCGAGGACATGGGGGAATGGTCATTTTATATTCTTTTATTATCTGGAGTTTACCCACTTCAACTCATTGTTCTTACTTTAAAATAACTTATTTTAACTTTAATGATCAGAGAAGGCAAAAATGTTGATTTTAAATGACCAACTAGTAACATGCCTCTTTTTTTTTTTTACCCAAGAGTCTCCTAATTTATGTAAGTAAAATTTTGAAAAAGATTTTCAAAATTCACCGTATGTTGGTAGTCAGACAGAATTCTGACTTACTGAGTAGCTTGACCACATGACCTTTGACTTCTACATTTTGGTTTTCAATTGCCAAAGAAAGAATACTCTTTAGTATGAGGGAGGGTTTGGCAAAGTGAAAAGAATGATGACTTTGGAGCCAGACAAATTTATGTTTAAATTGCTTCTTAACACAAGCTTGCTGTGTCACTTTGGGCAAGTTATTTAATCTCTGTGAGTCTTAGTTTTCTTATCTGTAAACTTGTGATTGTAACTACTTTGTAGCATTATTTTGTGGGTAAAAATAAATACTGCATGTCATGCAGCAGTATAATTATTCCAGATGACAGAATTTCAATAAATAAATAGACATGATGTCTAAAATTTTATGACAAAATACTCTGTTGTTTTGATATAAATTAAAAGCAAAACTACTTTTGTTACTTCATGTTTACATAGGAAGAACATTACTTACTCTTGACATTAGTGAAAACTGCCCTGCTTTGAGTGGTAAACATAAGAGCTGTGATTATAATTGCTCCTTGGTTAACCTGTATATTGGAAACTTTGTTGTCAAAAAAGTGGTTTTCTGAAAAAAGTAAGTAGTGATATTGTCAACAGTTTACCAAAAGAAATTCTAACTAATCTTCAAAGTGTAGTCAGTAAATTCACTCATGCTGCGTGAAATAATATACAGGAACACAGAGAAGAGTACTTATCAGTGTTGTTCATAGCGAGACATTTTATTCATTCGCTTTAATCAAACATGGCCGAGAAAGTCAAATTATGCCTGTATGTTCTTAGAGAGTGAAGCCCAGAAATACTGTATGAGAATGGGATACCTCACTGTCATTCAAAATAAAGGAAGTCAGGTAAAATGTCTTCCATGTCAAGTGGAAGACAGATATTTTCAATGAATGTAAACACACAGTCTCACGTAGTGAAAATACAAAGACGTCTTTTTGATGGTTTCCTAGGTACAGGCCACAGGATCACCATAAGAATATATGTGTAATAGGATCTTTTGTATTGATTATATAATTAACCTCCCTTAGGTTAATAGCAAATGAAGCATATCCTTTATTTAAAATGGTACTTCCTAGCAAATGCTGGTATATAGTTTATTTGCCAGTGTGTTTTTCATTTGATGGAGCATCTATGAGGCTTTGATTTTATAAAAGTGAGTGAAGCCATTGGTAAGAACTATTGAAATGCCTGGGAAATTGGTTCAAGGGAAAGCTGAATTTAAGGGCAGCAGTCTGAATGTGTAGATTAGGGGCATTGTGAGCCTTCAGGTTTTACTCGGTGCTTCAATCTAGAAGATTTTCATAAGGCCAAAATGATTTCCAGAATGGCCCAGTGTTTCATTCCAGTATAGTGTACAAAAGGCCTTATCATCCATACCATCCATATCTTTCCTCCTTTAATAATATAAGAGTCACATTTTCTTGTAGCATAATCTTGTAGAGGGAGCAATATTTTAAATCTGGACAAATTACAACCTTTTAGCTAATTTCCTCAAGCATCATCGTTCTTATCCTTTTAAATACTCTCAATATGTCTACTAGTGCTTAATATTACTTTTTCTTATACAGATCCAGTGCCCCACTTGCCAATTCATCTGGTGTTTTAAGTGCCACTCTCCTTGGCATGAAGGTGTTAACTGCAAGGAGTACAAAAAAGGGGACAAATTGTTGCGTCACTGGGCCAGTGAAATTGAGCATGGACAGAGAAATGCCCAGAAGTGTCCAAAGTGCAAGGTGAGATAACTAACCTTTACGAAAGAAAAGAAACGTGTGCAACTGGATATCATTGAACAGTAATATTTATAAAACTGAAATGAATTATGTGCATAACTTTCTTTTTTTAATTTATTTGAGAGAGAGAGCATGTGTGCAAGTTGAGGCAGGGACACAGGGAGAGGGAGAGAGAATCTCAAGTAGACTGCCCGCTGAGCGTGGAGCCTGGTCTGGGGCTTGATCTCATGACCCTGAGATCATGACCTGAGCTGAAATCAAGAGTCGGTCGCTTAACCGACTGAGCCACCCAGGCGCCCCAGCATGCATGACTTCCTTAGTGCAGGTGTGGAGAAAAAGAATATTTGCTGCTTCATTTTAGAAGAGTAATTATATTACCTAACTAAATGGTAGATTTTATATATAAACAGTGTATATTCTTCTTACTTGCATTATACTTCAAAATATAAGAAGACTACGTATAATTACTGATTTTAAACTTCAGAGTTTTTATTTTCCATTTAAAAATGGGGATGTGTGTACAGGGAAAATCCAGCATGGAAATGATATAGAAGTATTATTTCTAATTTGCCACATGCACTATAATCGCTTCTCAATTAGGCAGGCTGTGAATCCTTGCAATCCTTTGTTTTTCTTTCCCTCTTTCATTGCTTATCACTTTAGGATTACAATAAGCTGATCATTTGCTTTTTGTAAATCGTAGAAGCTAATAGTTGAAGTCAGGACTTGGGGATTTTATGAATCCCATTTTTCATTTTTCTCTTGATTATCATGCAGGAAATCAAGAGTTAACAGGCATTTGAGCTAAAATTTAGATGTTGAAAGTCAGCCATGCAAACAGCCAGGGAAGACTCACCTACAGAGAAATCAGCAAGTAAATCCAGCCAGAAAACTATGGATTTGATACTTACAGGATAGAGATCTGTTGAAATTTGGAATTTTTTTTTTCTCAAAGCTCACTTTAGAAAACTGTATGTGTGTATATGCATATGTATACCCTACTGTATATGTTTTCCATTTTTTGCCAAATTAATCTTTAGAAATCATTCTGCAATTCCTTCCTGGAGACTTAGCACCAGATAAATAAAATTTGAGTTCTCAGAAAATGGTTAAAAATCAATCCTTGTAAATCCAACTTGAAGTCGTAAAGTATATTCTGAAGCCTATTAATGAGCATAAATATAATGCACAGATTCACTGTATTAGGTTCACATACAAGTTTATACATATAGTAAGTAAAAGTATTGCCTGAAATAACATGTTGCATTCTTAGCATTTGAAAAAAATTTTGAAATAGTATTGATGACCTGGTTCTCTTAAAAGCGATGTCTAAAGAACTTTGAGCTAAAGCTTTCTTTGTTTTCCCTGTGGAAGGCAAATTCATCCACAATTATCCTTTTGATTTCAGGGTTGTTCCAGATCACTGCATGAATTGCTCAGTACATTTATTTTTCATCCATTGAAGAACAATGAGAAAATGAGGCCTTTCCCCCTTGCTCTTGCCTTTCCAGTTTACTCAAAGCTGCTACTCAGTTTCAACTAAATAAAGACCAGTAGGAATTTAGGAGTGCTGTTAAGTCATTCCATTTAGCACTTTATTTGAAAGTATACTTTATATTTCTCTGGAAAGCTGTGAAAACAATTTCCAGTTAGCCTGGCTCCAAGACTGTATGCTGAATGAGCAATGCAGCATTATACATTGGGGAAATTCTGAATGAATGGAGGTAGTACATAAAAACATACCTGGGTTACTGTAATCCTTCAATCTAACATTAAACGGATTCTGATATATAGAAAGAAAAAGCAGCCAACTGTAAGGAGTTTTCTGAATGCACTAACAACTTCCCACAGTTTTAACAAATACAGATAAACAGTTAAGAGAAAGCATACATGTCGGTTGCTTTTTGAAGTAATTGCTAAAATGTTGGGGCTTGAAAAGGAATTCACTTTTAAATAGCTGAAAAGAAAGGAGCCAAGGAAACATGGAATCCGTTTACATGACTGGTGTGTAGCAGAGAATCTACCTTCTGGTGAGATTCAGGTCGCATACAATTTATGTCAATTTAAGTCATATTTTAGGGCTTGTTTTGGATACAAATGGTTCAGTTTTCCTTTTCTTTTACACATATGACTTTATATCTTTGCATTTTGTTAACTGTGATTTTGTTGTTGTTGTTGTTGTTGGACCTTAAAATTACTTTCTCCCATGAAACATTTCTATTCTTGTAACAGAAATCCATGAGGAGATATTCCTCAATGACTTAATGTTTGTTTTATACTCCAAGGCTTTGCTTTCACAAATAATTCTTTAAAATTTATAAATATAACATGTTGGAAAATTAATAAATATGAAACAAGTTAAACTAAATGGCTATGCATGTATAGTAGAAATCAGTGTTGAACTAACAAACGAAAATATGTACATTAAATGATTTCTTTTTGATTCTAAAAACAGACTAAAATAAAATTTATAAATATAAAAAATATATATATCCTACATAATGAATTGATGGCGTTCATCTTGAATATATCTTTTTTTCCCGATTTTAGATCTTTTAAAGCTTATATTTCTAAAGATAGAATCACTGGGTTAAAGGATATTAATGTTTTTAGTATTTGGTACCAATTTACTTTCTAAAAGATTGAAACAGTTTATAATACCCCCAGAAAAACTTGAAGACATGTTTCTATGTAAGTATTTCTGATTACCATTTCAAGTATTTTTAAAATGCTATTTTAGTAGTTTAAAAATATTTTGTTCTTATATTTTGAATCTCCTTGTTTGCTTTTACATCGAATATAAATTCATGTGCTTTTTAGTTTGTAATGCCCCTTTTGAGTTTTCTGTGCATATTCTTTGCCCATTTCTATGGATCAGGTCAGGGCGTATTTTTTTGTATCAGATTATATGAACTCTTTGTTTGAAAGTATTAACTTCTTTTCTGGCATTTTTCTCTCCTATCTTCTGTTACTTTCTTTTTATATCAATGATAGTTTGGGTTTTTGTTTTTGTTTTTTTACTTTTTTTTTTTTTTACTGTGTGTATTTTAAAAATTTTTAGTTTGACCAGGTATCATTCTTTTTGGGTGGATACACAAACATACATCCTATTTATACACATATTTTATATATTTGCATACCCTTTGTTTTTTTTTTTAAGATTTTTTTTTATTTATTTATTTGAGAGAGAGAGAATGAGAGATAGCAGGAGAGGGAAGAGGGTCAGAGGGAGAAGCAGGCTCCCTGCTGAGCAGGGAGCCCGATGCGGGACTCGATCCCGGGACTCCAGGATCATGACCTGAGCCCAAGGCAGTCGCTTAACCAACTGAGCCACCCAGGCGCCCTATTTGCATACCCTTTGTAAATATTTTGTTCCTAAGCTTAGAAAGTTATCTATCAACCAGAAGTTTGATAAAACAGCTCATTTTCTTCCTTTTCTTTTAACTACTTAATTTCTAAATAATTTTAACTCTTTAATCTAACCATAACTTATTTTGATGTTTACTATGCATTGAATTCCTATTCTAATTTTTTCCAAATTAAGACAATCTAACATAATTGTTTGTTAAATAATTCTCCTCCTACCCATTGATTTGTAATTTTTCTCTAACCATATGTTAAATTAATATATATAAAAGTCTGTCTTCTAAGACAAATACCATATGATTTCACCCCATATGTAGAATTTAAGAAACGAAACAGATGAAAGAAAAAAAGAGAGAGGGAGGCAAACCATAAAACAGACTAACTATAGAGAATAAACTGAGGGGTGATGGAGGAGAGGTAGTGGGGGGGGATGGGCTGTAATAAGGAGGGCCCTTGTGATCATTGGGTGTTGTGTGTAAGTGATGAATCACTAAATTCTACTCCTGAAACTAATATTACACTATATGTTAACTAACTAGAATTTAAATAAAAACTTGAAACATAAAAAAAAGTCTCTCTTCTAAACTCCGTAATCTTGCTGCTGCTAATTTTTCAAGAAAATTCTGTGATTATATTGGGGAGTATTAAATGATTAGGCTTTTGTCAAAGGTATCCATCCAAACACATTTTGATAACCTATTTTAGTTAGCATTCCAAATGAAACTATTTCACTTATAAATGTCTCCCATACTGAGTTTTTACCATTTGCTCAAGTGGAAAGACCAGTTTAATATATGGTATAATATTATGAAGAGATTTGACTTATGCTGAGAAGTCAAAATTATTATTTATAATTGAATTTTGGCAGATGACCAGAATTAGTATTGAAATATTTTTCTTCCACATGTGATTAAGATGCTTATTCATAGTGGGATTTTTTTTTTATAGTAAGGTAAAAATATAGAAATGTTTCTGGAAGTTATTTATTTATAAGACATTTTTATAAAAAATTAATAACAGCATAGTAAGATTAACTTTACCTAGCCATTTTTATTTAAATCTCATTGCTTCTTAATTCATACTATTCTCCACTTATGAGACACTACTTTTTACCTTTTTAAAAAAAGATTTATTTATTTATTTTAAAGAGAGAGTGTGTGTGTGAGTATGCATATGCATGTGTGCCAGGGCAGAAGGAGGGGCAGAGGGAGAGGGAAAGTCAAGCAGACTCCCTGCAGAGTGGGGAGTCCGACCAGGGCTGAATCTCACAACCCTGAGCCCATGACCTGAGCCAAAATCAAGAGTCAAAGACAACCTACTGAGCCACCCAGGCAGCCCAATGCTATTTTTTATCTTAAATTTTAGTGTGTGTGCTGCCGAAGTGAACACTATTTTTTATCTTAAATTTTTTTTTTTTTAAGATTTTATTTATTTGCGAGAGAGAGAATGAGAGACAGAGAGCATGAGAGGGAGGAGGGTCAGAGGGAAATGCAGACTCCCTGCTGAGCAGGGAGCCCGACGTGGGATTCGATCCCGGGACGCCAGGATCATGACCTGAGCCGAAGGCAGTTGCTTAACCAACTGAGCCACCCAGGCGCCCTATTTTTTATTTTAAAAACATGTTTTCTGTCTTAATA